ACATGTACACTTGGAAAGAGTATAAATTAGTGGTATAGGAGAAATTGAACCCTTTAAAAAAAATATCTGATTCAAATGTCTAATGGCAATCTTTGTGTTCTTATTGCTGTTTCTTTGCGTTTATGTTGCTATTATAAAATTGCAAAAGTAAGAAATGCCAAACGTGACACTGACACTCTTTAAGCTTGAATTTTCACATGTTTGTTGGTGCATCCCTAAAAATATTACCTTGAAACTTAATTCTTTTAAAAAATTCGTTAAAAGTTTCAGTTACTGCACTTGCTCTTGAGTCCCCCTGCCAACTCTTATGGTTTTACAACCAGATTTTCCTGTTTTGATTTTGTTCTGGTTTTTTAAAATGTTTCTTTCCCCTGTTAATTTATGAAAGACCTATACATCTAGAGGAAACTGACTAAAATTCTGATCCTGCAAATTTTTCTCTGCAGATGCAGAGCTTTGCCTGTAGGATCAACTGTTGCAGGATTGGGGTGCAACTGAGGGAAACAGTGGAAGTGGCTATACCCAACAATACGCTAGCAAATGCTCAAAGTAAATACGTTTTAAGAATAGAAATATTTTTCTCTAAGCTTGTTCAGTTTGTCTGCTTGGGTGTTACTTGTAACGATAGTAAGTACACCATTTTCATGCAGAAGTGTGTTTAAGTTGATTGTGTCCTTTTAAGCATAATTTAATTAATCTGGATTCTAAAATAATGTTAGGAATAATTTTAAAAAAATCAGTTGAAAGCATTTTGTAAATATTTCCTTTTATTGACTTTGTAAGGGGATGGAGAGGGAATCCTAAATGATCCTTCTCCACATCCGTGACAATCAGCTTGCAAAATGTTGCTGTGAAAAGCAAACTAATGAGGGGAATTCATGAGCAGTTCAATCTGTACAAATCTGGATCTTCCCCTCTCCCCCCCCCCCATGTTAAAGATGCTGGATTTAGCTTTTTTGATGTTTTTTAATTTTTTTATTTTCAGTACGATGTGTAAAAGTTCAGCTTTATTACCCACCAGTCTCCTCTTTTTGTTTGATAAACACTCTTGTTCATTTTTTTCTGTTTCAGTGAAGCTGAAATTAATATGGCTCTTTGTTTTTGTCCTTGTTTGAGCACTAGTACATTGGATCATTTCAAAGATGTCATCACAGCCCTGGGAATGGGGTTAATGGATTTATGCTCCCTCTGCTGGCTAGTTCTGTCATAGTGGAACACAAAGCATTGCAGGTCCTGTACACTCTTATTTTAAATTGTTTGTCAGTGGATCAGATAACAGGAATGAAAATAGATATTTGGAATCTGGACGACATTGCTCTGAATTATCATTGCTTGCCATCAATTTGATCTTTTGAGAGGGCCTAGAAATGAACAAGTTAGTATTTTCATGTGCTATTTTTCCAGGAATACACCTCTACCTCGATATAACGCTGTCCTTGGGAGCCAAAAAATCTTACCACGTTATAGGTGAAACCGCGTTATATTGAACTTGCTTTGATCTGCCGGAGTGCGCAGCCCCGCCCCTCCGGAGCACTGCTTTACCGCGTTATATCAGAATTCGTGTTATATCGGGTCGCGTTATATCGGGGTAGAGGTGTATTTTGGTATAATAATTTTTAAAATGTGCACTTCAGGGATGCTGAATCTGATACACGGATGAAGTTCAGAATCTTCCTAGATCCTCCTTAAAACTGACCTCTGCCATGATGCCTTCAAATCCTGCCGTCTGTTTTCACCGGTTTTGTCTTCTTATACTTAGAAATATAAGCTCCTCAAGGCAAGGACTGTCTTTGTTATGTTTGTATAGTGTTTAGCACAATGGGCTGAGGCCTCTAGGGGTTACTACAATGCAAATAAATAATCAAATGTTACCTTTCTGATGAAAGTGGACCTGGAAAAGATAACCAAATAAGGTAGTGTTATCCTGTTCCACAGTTTGTCATAATATGAATAGATTCTGAAGGATGAACATTCATTCCTACGCTTTCATCGCTGTGTAGTTTCCTCTGGACTGTTCCTGCAAAAATAATAAATGATTTGCACAGAGAGCCTTGCAGAGAATCTGAGGTTATATTTAGAACATGGTGAGGGGTGGGACAAAAATAATATATTGCAAATTGTATAGTTCCTGGAAGGTTTGCTTCACCCACTGTCAGAGAATTCAGAAACTAAGTGGGACATAGCTTATAGTTACACCTGTTATCAAAGCAAACATCTTTCCAAAACAAGTTTTTATTCCCCTGTATGGAAGTTTTCTACTATCTTTAGAGAGGAAAAGGATGGACCTATGATCAGGTTGGGAATTAATTTTCCTTCGACAACAGAAGAACTTGTAGTGTACAACTAGCAGATTCTAAAACAGTTGGATGCTCTTAAAGCTGACAACGCAGTAGGTCAGATATTGTGAAATAATGAGCTTCAAAGGATGTTTGATTAATTTAGACTTAATCAAAAACAAAAAGAGCCCCTGATATTAATGTAAAAAATGCCAATTCATAACAAAATACTGTAGCAAACTACACCATCTACTGGCAATAGCTAACCACTGCAGTGGGGGTGGGAAACCCACCATAATAAAGAATACTGTACTCTCGTAGCACCTAGCAGGCAGAAAGTGGTTAACTAGGACATCTGTGAATTTTTCATTGGTCACTACATTTCAGAGAGATTTGAGTATTGTGAATTGGTAAACACAATTTCATTATAGCAAAAGGTCAAGAAAGAAACTAGAAAATTATAGGCAAAAGACTCATTTGTGATGGGTGGAAAAAAGAATTTTTGAAACTATTTTAAGTAGTATAATGGTAAGCCTTGGACAATCACAGCTTTAGAGTAGCCACCATGGCTTCAGGTAGAGGGAAGTCGTATTTGAATAACCTGCTGGAGTTCTTGTTAAATACTACCACTATGGATGAGAAATACAGTGACTATAATAGAGCTAGATTTTTTTTTTCTTTCAAGTATTTGACAAGATCCCATGTCAGAGATCAGTGGGTAAAATCAGATTATATGATGTGGAATAGAAAACTAACCTGAAGATCAAGAGAGAAAAGGGAACCAGTTTTGTTTGTTTTTTTTGTTCTTTGTTTTTTTAATCCACAAAAGCTTATGCTCAAATAAATCTGTTACTCTTTAAGGTGCCACCGGACTCCTTGTTGAGTAATGTATGGTATCTTTCTTGTTTGATATGGTCAAGTGGGATACATAAGGAGTCCATTTTAGGACACTGTTTCCAACATATAGTAAAAGTGCTATTAACCATAATTGCCTATCTTAATGACCAATGAATTTTTAGTCCTCCTGAGAGTGCATATTAGTCACACTGGTGTCTTCAGTTAATTGCTACAGTAGCCAGAAAAGAAATATCGATGTTAATAGATTTCACTCTAAAATAAGGGTTTTAAAATGAGACTTCCAAATTTACAGTTAATGTTAGGAGTAGTACAGTTAATAAAAAAAAAAAAAACAATGTCGCTGTTCTTTAAAATATTTTGATCATATAGGTGGTAACACCATTAGATGGTAAATAAAGTGGTTACTTGTAAAAATACTAAGTATAGGAGCAAGGAGCTAGACAAAGGCTTAGTCTGCACTTAAAAATTAGGAGAAAAATTTCACCCCATGAGCGCCATAGTTAGGTCAACCTAACCCCCAGTGTAGACGCAGCTAGGTCAACAGAAGAATTCTTCTGTTCAACCAGCTACTGCCTCTTGGAAAGGTGGATTAATTATATCCGCGGGGAAAAAACCCTTCCCTCATAGCTGCAGCTGTGCTGCTGTCGTGCTTGTAGTTTAGAGATAGCCTTAGGCCTGGTCTACACTGGGGGGGTGTGGTCGATGTAAGATACGCAACTTCAGCTATGGGAATACCGTAGCTGAAGTCGACATATCTTATTCCGACTTATCTCCCGTCCTCATGGTGTGGGATCGATGGCCGCAGCTCCCCCGTCGACTCTGCTACCGCCGCTCGCTCCGGTGGAGTTCCAGAGTCGACGGGGAGCGCGTTCGGGGATCGATATATCGCGTCTTAACGAGATGCGATATATCGATCCCCGATAAATCGATCGCTCCCCGCCGATACGGCGGGTAGTCTGGACATACCCTTAGAATATAAAGGCTGCTAAGAGGTGTACTGACAAAACAATGGACAATCAATCCTGGGCATGCAAGGTGAATCTGAAGTTTCACTGAGCTCAGATACCTTTCTTAGCTATTACTGTGTAAAAAGTTGATCTCAAGAGATTCCTTCTACTCTTGAAAATAATAGACAGACTCAGGGCCATCCCTAGACATTGTGGTGCCCTATGCACCCCTCTTTTCCCCCCCCACGTGGGGGGGGCTGGTCCCAGGCCTCCATGGGGGGGGCATCCCCAGGCCTCCGCAGGGGGCCGAGGGGTGGGGCTGTGCCCAAGGTCTGTGGGGGGGCAAGAGCAGGCTTGGGGGGCAAGGGGGAACCACCACCCCCAGCACGAGCCGGTGGAGCGGGTTGGGGCCGGGTCGCTCCACTTCTTGCTGCTTGGTGAGTGCAGGGCGTGCCCAACCCCTGCTGCAGTCCCCCGGGACGTAGCTCAGGGGAAGGGGTGGAGTGGGGGCAGGACTGGGGCAGAGTGGGGTGGGAAGGGGTGGGGGCGGAGCAGGGGCGGAGGCTTTGGCATGGGGGCTTTGGGGAAGAGGTGGAGCAGGGGCGGGGGCAGCTTTCCTGGCTAGCTTAGCCGGCCGGGGGATTGGGCTGGCCGCTGGAGCAGCGCACAGCTGTGTAGGGCACCAGGAAATTTGGGGCAATTTGGTGCCCCAAATTTCCTGATGCCCTGCACAGCTGCATAGTTTGCATATGGGTAAGGACGGCCGTGGGCGGGCTTAGCTTTAATTTCATTCCTTGACAAATCTGTTTGTAATCTCTTTTCCATAGCACTTCACATCTTTAAGTAGGTTCCAGGTCTTGTATTGCTCAAGCTTGTCTGTATTTTTATAGTGTTCACCTCCAGTCTTTTTACTTCTGTGTGCCAAATAGAGTGTGCACAAGAGTCTATCTCTTGAATCATGTGGGTAGTTAGTCTGCAAATATGCCAAGTAAACTCAGAGGTCAGCCATGAATTGCTAGGAATTCTAAGTGTATATTTACACTGCAGAAAAAGACCTGTGGAAATAAGTCTCTGTGTCCGGATCAGCCAACCGGAGCTCGTGCTACTGGGCTTAAAATAGCAGTGTAGACATTTGGGCTTGGGCTGGAGCCTGAGCTCTGAGACCCTCATTTCCTCTCCTCCCCCCCCCCCACTTCCCCACTGGGTTTCAGAGCCCATCCCCAGCCCAAACATTTACACTGCTGTTTTTAGCCGGGTAGTGTGAGCTTGAGTTAGTTGACCCGGGTTTAGAGACTTGCTGCCTTGAGTTTTTGTTTTTTGCAGTTTAGGCATACTTTCATAGACCACCATTTCACAGAAAGCAACATGTTCTGGGTTGAAATTATGTTTGTTGCTGTGAGCCTCATAACTCAAATACATTTAAAGGTAGTAACACATTTACTGAAGAAAGATTTTAAAAAAAAAAAAAAAAAAGCTTTCCTAATGACTTGTCCATGGAATATACATGATTGCCAAATTTGTGCATATAGGAGGAAATCCTAATAGATTAAGGCCAGAAGGCTCTGTTATGATGATCTAGTCTGACCTCCTGAATAACACCAGTGAACCCAGCATTCCTGACTCAAAATCCTCTGAGATAACGAGTTCAACATGTTCCTCTCCCAAAGCATGTTGCTGAACTAACCTTTTTGTCTATCAGTCCTAAAGCACTTGTAGTGTAAAACAGTGGTTTTCAAACTTTTTTTCTGAAGACCCAGTTGAAGAAAATTGTTGATGCCCACAACCCAACGGAATTGGGGATGGGGGTTGGGGTGTGGGAGGGGCTCAGGGCTGGGGCAGAGGGCTGGGGTGAGGGCTGCTGGGTGGGGCCAGGAATGAGGGGTTCAGGGTGTGGGAGGGGGTTCTGGGGTTGGGGTGCGGGAGGTGGTCAGGGCTCTCGGCTGGAGGTGCAGGAAGGGGCTCCAGGTTTGTGGGGGGGCTCAGGGCTGGGGCAGGGGATTGGGGCGCGGGCTTAACTTGAGTGGCTCCTGGTCAGTGGTGCAGTTTGGGTTCTAAGGCAGGCTTCCTGCTTGTCCTGGCACTGCAGACCGCGCTGCGCCCCGGAAACGGCCAGCAGCAGGTCCGGCTCCTAGGTGGAGGTGCGTAAGCG